CCCCAAAACCCCAAAACCCCAAAACCCCATGTATAATATTTTCATTGAAATATTTGTATTAATGGGGTGCTGAAACTCTGTCCCGAAAGAGCTGTTGTGCTCTGATACACCTTTCTTCCAAATCAGGATTAACTCTAAAATATGGAATAAAGAGTCCCATGGTCTGTTTGACTATGAAAACCAAAGTTTTCAAGAGGTTACTATTCAGCAGAGCGGTAATTTCTTCATTTATGGAGCTGATTCGAAAGTATTCCCGATGATTCCAAGCTCAGACATGGATGATTCTGAGTCAAGCAGGCTGCTATCCGTTGCTTATAAATAAAGGAAGATACTGGATTTATCATTATAAGGATTTTTCTACTTGAGAATCTTTAAAGAAGCCTTCAGACCAACCATGGATTTCTTTAAAGCATCTAAACCCCATAAGCCACAGTGCTAGGTATGATGCTAACTATGGGTACAAGCTAAAGCAAGGTGACATCATTAAGTTTGGCAGAGTGAGGTTCAGGATCAGCAGAATTAGCTCTGATTCTACTCCAAGTCATGAATATAGGTAAGCTAGTAACAAATAATGCTCAAAAATAATAATTTTACATCCAATTTAATTCTTCCATTAGCATAATAGTTTGATCAAGATTACTTTTAGAGGTATTCAGACAGAGAATAATCACCAGATTGTAGAGTCAAACGAGAGCAATATTATCGATGACTCCATGTACTTCGAGAAGCAGCTGAAGCTTGAAGAGCTCAACAACATTAATCTTTCAGGAGTTGAAATCGATAGCGGTGGGTATAACGACCTGCGTAATGATAATAAATCAGAAAGCAAACAGAGTAAGGATGCATGAAGAATTTGTCTCTCTTGAGAAGAGGATCCTGATGACCCACTCGTAACTATCTGTAAATGATCTGGAACAATGGGCCTGATACATCTTGAATGAATAAAGGGCTGGCTCGATAGTAAATTACATAAATAAATTTGTTCCTCATACATTCTCATATAACTGGAAGAATCTGAGATGAGAGTTATGAAAAGAAAGGCTGAAAGGTATACAAAACTCTCTTATGTATAGACCTCTACTATATTCACGGAAAGCCAGTGCACCTGCTGAACTATAAGAGGCCTCAGGAAGGGACTTATATCACTCTTGAGTCCTTTACAAACACTCCTCATAAGACCATTCATGTGATTAACTTGCAAGAAAACCTAGATGATTATAATGAAGAAATGGAATTCACAATAGGCAGGGACAACAATGTTTGTATCCGGATCACCGACATAAGTGTGTCTCGGAACCATGCTGTTCTAACCTGAAAGAATGGAGAGTTTTTCGTTAAAGACACAGATAGCAAATTTGGAACACTGGTACTCCTCCAATCACCATTCCCGATAGAATACCATGATAAGTGGGATTTGTCTGTCCAGATTGGCAAAAACCTTAGTAAGAAAAATTTGTCAAATTTAGTCACAATTTCACCAGAAATGCTAGAGAAAAATATTTGTGGAAGGAATAAATTTGAAAAAATATATTCCTCAAAAGTAAAAACTTACAATGAGTATTCCTTCCTTTACCCAAAAGTGATGAACAAAAAATTTGGAATCCCAGTTCCAGAAGAAAAGCCAGAAGAAAAGTCAGTTTCAAAGCCACAGAAGGACATCATCCCTGAAATTTCTTCACATAGGATGAAATCCAGAAATAATCTTTTGATAAATAATCTAACTCCAGAAAATGACACCGAAGAGGAAAAACTTAGGGAGAATATTCTTGGAAGGGGGACAAATATGCAAAGAAACCGACCTTCGAAGGACTCTACCATAATTCCCACAGCTAGAGCTGGTGACACTGAGATCAGGATGTCAGTCGATAGAGAACAGCCTGCTCCAGATTCTCAAAGGAACAACGTAAGGACGACTTCAAGGCTAGAAACGCCCACTATTTCTTCTAACCGTAAGAATATGGATAATAATATTCGAGAAGAAAGCACGAGATCTAGGCATGAGACGCTCTAGAGTGTGTTAATTCTACAAAAATGAATAAGATAGTCCTCAAGAACGGCTGGTGAGAATCCCAGAAGGAAGAGTCTAAGTACCCAAGGCGATTCCACAGAGCCCAGAGCACATCAGTCGAGCATATCTATAAAGGCTCAATGAATTCTCGATTAAGTTTGGAAAATAAATTTTTCCTCCCTAAAATTCCTGAGAGCTCTTCAAAGCTTCGCTATGAAGATAGTGAAGAGTGTGATGAAGAGCATCAGCAAAAAAGCAATGAAGACAAGAAGGAAAAGAATAATGAAGAAGATAAGGAGCAGAACCATGAATTTGCCCAGAAATTGAACCTCTCAGAGATCCCTCTTGAAGAAAGCAAGGAACGGATTATCACTAGAGAGAATCTTGAAGATATAGTATCCTTATCTCCCAAGGAGTCTCTGATGAATGAGATCTTACCTCCTACTGGATCTGGGCTTCGCAGAAGCAAGACTCGGAATTGTCTTCATAGAGGAATTACTCTCAAGAAGCGACTAATATTTACTAGTAAGAAGGAGAAAGATGAGTGAAACGGTAATGAGCGATTAAACTCAGAGGCTAATCTTCTCACAGAACGGAAGCTTGCTGAGGATGAAGACAAAGTCTCTAAAAATAGTGAAGACCTTGAATTCAAGAATGAAGATAACGAACAGTTATTAAAATAATCTTTTTCAATTACTCTGTCTTTCTTGGGGTTTTGGGGTTTTGGGGTTTTGGGGTTTTGGGG